TTTACCTACCTGCCCTAAGCGCGCTTTGCACTCTGCCCTACGCGGCCCCTTTGCGGCCCCCTAGTGGCCTTCTCTGCCTTACGCGGCCCCCTTGCGGCCTGTTGGCGGCCCCCCCTTTGAGGCCCCGTCGCGACCCCGTCGCGGCCCCGTCCCTGCCTCGTCGCGGCCCTGCCCCGTCGCCTGTCGCGGTCCTGTCGCGGCCCCGTCGCGACTCCGTCGCGGCCCCGCCCCGGCCCTGCCCCGTGGCCTGTCGCGGCCCCGTCACGGCCCCGTCCCGGCCCTGCCCCGTCGCGGCCCCCCCCTTGCGGCCCCATAATGGCCCCGTCGCGGCCCCCCGTCGCAGGCCCCCCGTCTCAGCTGACGCTGAGGGGGGTGGATGTGTGGGAGCCAAAGGAGTGGTGCTAGGGGGGTGGAGTGTAAGTGAATCTAGAGGTGCAGCAAGGGGTGTGTGAAAGAGGGGTGGGATAGTTTGGGGAGGTTGAAGGGGGGTGGCCGCCGTGAAGCCCGCAGCTCCAGTCGCTCGTGAGACCGTTGCGCCAGTCGCCCGTGAGCCCGTTGCGCCAGTCGCCCGTGAGCCAGTTGCTCCAGTCGCGCGTGAGTCCGTTGCTCCTGCCGCTCAGAGTTAGCCGCGGAGCCAGTTACTCCAGTAGCCCGTGTGTCAGTTGCTCCAGTTGCCAGTATGCCAGTTGCTCCAGTTGCCCGTGTGCCAGTTGGTCCAGTTGCGCCGTGTGCCAGCAGCTTCAGCTGCCGCCCACTACCTCCTCTCCTCTCATAGTCCCTCCTCCTCCACACTTGCCCTTTGTGATAGCTTCTAGCTTTGCTTACTATTATTGTGAACTATTGCTTGCTTACTTGTGCTCAGAATGTGTGGTGACATTGTGATCCACCCTGAGCTTGTCTTTTGTTTTGCTTTGCTTCTTGTGCTGATTACACCCCACTTTGGCTATGGGGGTGTGTCAGAATGTTATATTTGTCTAGCCTGCAGTGGGGTACTCAATAGTGAGTACAGCCCAATCTAGGGTTTCCTATATGTACTCAACTGCTTGCTAGTGCAATCATTCCACTTTCTTCTTCTCAATTCATTCCTCAATCTCTTCACAAAAGGAACACACGTGACTGTTCAGACCAGTGCGCGAAAAAATGGAAGTGAACCCTTTCCTCGTTCCTATAAGCTGAAGCAACTGCGGATTTGATGGTACAAATAGACGACAACAGTATAAACAATCCCTGTCGGCTGTCGCAATAGAAGCCCGTCGCGGCCGCTGCACGCCGCACGCCCGTTGACTATTGCCGTTGACATTTTGGGTTGACGATGGGATTGGCCACTCGCTAAGCTAACGAATGGCGTCACACGCATCGGGTGCAATGCGATGCGTGGCATATGCGTTGACAAAACGGAATGCGGTGACGACTTGAAGCGCCGCACGTTCATCGTAGTGGCTTCTTCGTTCGGGAATCGGGACAGAGGCTGCGAGACGAGCAGCTTTTCTGTTGCACATGTGTGGTGAATTGGTGGTGCGGCGAACTGGTGGAACACGAGTGCACGGGTGCCCCTTTCACTCTCCCCTTCCACAAAGACTGCCTTTGCTGGTCCATTTCCCGTCTTTCATTTTGCTGCTCCTTTGCTCGCACTCACGTCAACCATCAGCAAATTGGGCTTGAATTCAGCAGTAGGGTTACCACTCACCGACAGTTCCTTGTCAGAACATTATGCTCTAGCCTGTAGTGGGGTGCTCTATAGCGAGTACAACCCTTCTAGGGTTTGCTATTTGTATCCTCATTCTTGCTAGTGCAACCCTCTCTCTTCTATCTTTTAAACTTTTCACATGCTATCAGAGCAGGTCGATCCCCTTGGATCGATCCTGTGGGTGGGCTCACCACCTCGTTGCTTCCGCTGCAACTTCCACTGCTACCCTCTGTGCCGCACGCCCCGTGGCGTGCGGCAGTTTTTCTTCCCGCCGTGCGCCCCGAGGCGCGCGGCGGTTTTCTGCCCGCCGTGCGCCCCGTGGCGCGCGGCGGTTCTCTGCCCGCTGTGCGCCCCGAGGCGCGCAGCAGACTTCTGCCCCATCACTCGGCACGTCGCCCTCGGGAGGCGCTGCGACGGGCGACGGGGACCCGCGCGTCGCCCCCCGTCGCCCGTCGTGGCCTGCGCGCGGCCCGTACAGGCTGCGCGCGGCCCGTAAGGGCTGCGCCAGGCCCGCACGCGGCCCATACGGGCTGCGCCAGGCCAGCGCGCGGCCCGTACGGGCTGCGCCAGGCCCGCGCGCGGCCCGTACGGGCTGCGCCAGGCCCGCGCGCGGCTCGGGCCGCCTGCGCGCGGTTCGGGCGGCTGTGCCAGGCCCGTGGGCGGCCCTTTCCTCGCTGCCCCTGCCCTCCCCGCTGTCCCCCGTGCTTCTACTGGCGCCCCACCCCTCCTACAGCCCGTTCTCCTGAATTAGGGTTTGGGGTGAGGGGTATGGGGGTGAAGCCACTGTGTGCCGTTCCCTGCTCCTCCTCCTCCTCCGTCTCCCTGTGCTGCAGCTGCCGCTGAGGGGGGGTGGACTTGTTGGAGCCGTTGGAGTGGTACTAAGGGGGGGTGAAGGGGGAGTGGAGCTAGCGGTGTAGCAGCGGGTGTGTGTCAGGGGGAGTGGGATAGTTTGGGGAGGTTGAAAGGGGTGGCCGCCGTGAAGCCAGCAGCTCCAGTCGCCCGTGAGACCGTTGCGCCAGTCGCCCGTGAGCCCGTTGCGCCAGTCGCCCGTGAGCCCGTTGCTCCAGTCGCCCGTGAGTCCGTTGCTCGTCTGCCGCTACTTTTAGCCGCGGAGCCAGTTACTCCAGTAGCCCGTGTGCCAGTTGCTCCAGTTGCCAGTGTGCCAGTTGCTCCAGTTGCCCGTGTGCCAGTTGCTCCAGTTGCGCCGTGTGCCAGCAGCTTCAGCTGCCGCCCACTACCTCCTCTCCTCTCATAGTCTCTTTCCTCCTCCTCACTTGCCCGTTGTGACTACCACTAGCTTTGCTCATAATTGTGAACTTTAAACTATTGCTTCTTGAACTTGTGCTCAGAATGTGTGGTGACATTGTGATCCACCCTGAGCTTGTACTGCTTTGCTTGCTCTGCTGATTACACCCCACTTTGGCTATGGGGGTGTGTCAGAACATTATGCTCTAGCCTGTAGTGGGGTGCTCTATAGCGAGTACAACCCTTCTAGGGTTTGCTATTTGTATCCTCATTCTTGCTAGTGCAACCCTCTCTCTTCTTTCTTTTAATCTTTTCACATTCCTTTCTTTCGGGTAGCCCCGCATGTTGTTTGAAAAATTTGGCTGAAATTATTCGCAGTAGAATAAATGGGTGTTTTTTCGTGCGCGTGTTGGTGTGGCCGTGAACTCTGACCACTGCTACTGCTGGTTGTATCTGAGCAGGCGTGTTAAAGGTGGGCGGTTTCGTGCACACCAGAGCAACCAAACGAACTGGTTCGAGAATCAAGAGGGTGGGAATTCCTCACAGAGGGAGGTTTTGGGAAGATAGGAATGGAAATGCGGCGGCAGGGGGCATGAGAGGGAGACGCTAAAGAGCTGGAATGGCATGACATGGAAAAAAATATCAACGATTGGTTGGGTGTGGCACAGCACGATAAGAGATTTATCAACGATTGGTTGGGATGGGAAAGGTTGACTGCCATGAGATGACAGTTGGTTGGAATAAGAGGTGGCTGGATTCTGGAACGAGTGACGTGACGGAGGGCGGCAAGGAGGGCGGGCGGGTAAGGGGTGGAGGGGGCAGGGTTTTGAGGGTGCAGTGAACGTTGGCTATAGGTTGGGGGTGGTACGGTACGAGATAAAAATTATAGTCTTACCCATTTGTTACCTTTCTTGCAATTTCCATCCTTGTAAGAGATACCCCCATTCTTCTAAGCAGTTTTGGATCCTAGGACCCAGTGTGCTAGCTATAAAAGAAATGACAACAGTATGCCGTACTCCAAATAATGCAGAGTTGAGTCTGAACCAGTGCACGCATCAATGTAAGACAAAGATTAATAACGAAATAGAAATGACAAGGTGAATCTATACACAAGAGATTTGTAGCCTATCCCAAATTATGGTAACACTTGTCCGCTAACACCAACATGCAGAGTAACCAATAGGAGATAGATAGTAAAGCACATGTTCGCGTTCAACCTGTGTGAGGAGATACCGCATATATCAGCTGATTAATGTTGTTGAGGGGATGTGACAGAATAGAGTGACCTAGTTTATTTGCCAACAAGAAACTCCATACAGTCTGAAATCTCCTTGTTTTGTCAGGTGAACCTATACCTAAGTCTGGAGAAGCTTCGCACGATTGAAACCGGCGAATACGCACCACCTTGTTGAATGAGACCTGCTTCTTCAGCCTGCCGCTCCCTCCCAACCCACCACTCCCAGTCCCACTCCCACTCCCACTCCTACTCCTACTCCCACTCCCACTCCCACTCCCACACCAACTCCCACCCCCACTCCCACTCCCACTCCTTATCCCACACCCACTCCCACTCCCACTCCCACTCCCACTCCCACTCCCACTCCCACTCCCACTCCCACTCCCACACCCACTCCCACTCCCACTCCCACCACCATCCGCCATTGACAAACACGATTTGACAGGGCTCTTGGGAGGAAATGGCCTTTCCGTGTCTGCTGTCTCACCTCCTGCCGCCAGCAATACTCCCGACCTGACAGGGCTTTTTAACTGCGACACAAGAGGCCTCCTCTTGTCAACCCCCCTTACCTGTATAGCAGAGTGTGTGCTTTCCAGTAGGAATAACAGCCTACCACGACTTCTGGTTTGTGTGCCTTCTAAGGGGATGTGGTCGTCACTCTGCAACCTTGCAAAGTGCCGCATGTGCGGGTCAATACTTATCGAGTGGTGTGGATTTTGGTGCATCCTAGTCCATTGCTGTGCTCTTTGCTCCCCTCCTGGAATGTCAAGAGAGTGGGAGGGCTTTATGGATGAAGAGGGGAAGGCCCTAATGGATGAATAGGGAGAAAGCTTAGGGGAACGAGTGGGGAAGCGCGGGGGCATGGATGGGGAGAAAGACGGTGGATTGGGGGAGGAGATGGGGAGGGTGGGGCAAGGGAAAGTGGGGGAAAGGAAGGGGGAGGAGGGGGACTAGGAGGACGAGGTTGCGGAGTCTGGTAAATCTGGGTGTATGGTAATGGGAGGGGGACGGCGGGGGAAGTTGGATGGGGAAGGCTTGTGCTGCTGGCGAGTTTGTGTTGTGCTGCTGACAAAGGACGTTTTTGGAGCGTTCCGAGGTGATTTCCTCCCACTTGACTGTTCCCCTCCAGACGGCTTCTCTGTGGAAACTCCCCTTGCTGCGCATTCCCGCTGCCAGTGCTGCTGCACTGGCCATGCCGTCATGACTCCATCATCGTTATCGTTATCGTCGTCAAGGTTGGCGGCAGAGGCGTGGGGGAATGATTCGGAACGAGTTCCGCCACCGGAAACGGAAACGCGAATGGCGGACCAAGCGCCAGGGGCGCCGCACTCTATGGTGGAAGGGGATGTGGCGGGGCCACGTTCTATGACGGACCATGCTCTGCGGACGGCACAGCTGCTCTGAGGCACCTCGAAATTCTCTAATCCGTCTGCGGACGGCATGGTGCTCCTACTTGTATAGCCGTTACTTGAACTATAGCCGTACCCACTACTAGAGCCTGCCGCTGCGAGGGCCTCAAATTCCTCCTCAAACCCCTGAAACTCCTCGACATTCCCGAGATTCTCGAAAGTGGCAAAGTCCCGTTCTGTCGCAGACGCTGCTCTACGGGCCGCCGCAGTGCGACAACTGCCAGTGCTCATCGCAGTGCGCTCAGTGCGACGATTGCTAACGCTTGCTTCTAACCCCTCTAATGCATCATCCAAGGCCTCGAAAACACGTTCTATCGCAGGCGTTGCTCTGCGCCCGATACGACGATCATGCGAAGGCGGCGGACCAAGGGTGCGATGGTGAGGCGACGAGGTGACGTGGAGGCGAGCGATGTCAGAATCCCAGTCACTAGACCACTGGGATAAAAGGGATTTTTAAGTAGCGGGTCAATGCGCCCATAACCCCCCAGGACAACGAGCCTGTAACCCTTCCCTAGGATCAATCGGGGATCACCAGCGGACCTCTGACAAGCGAGTCGCGGTGACGAGATGAGGTGGCGGCTCGGTCAAGAGCGCGGGGACGGCGCGTGACGAGGTGATGTCGACGTGGGTGGATGGGGTGGATGGGGCGAATGGGGAGGATAGCGGGGTGAAGATGCTACGGCGGCAAGATGAGGCGAGCTGGAAGAGATGTTGGCAGGAGAAAAGGGTTCTCGTTTTTGCCGAAATGCGGCTGCTGCTGTTGCTGCTTTGCCACCTGCCCCTTCGGAGGACGAAAGCTCCCCTCCTCCTCAGCCTCCTCCTCCTCTTCCTTCCCCTTTCCCTCCCCCTCTCCCTCCTCCTCCTCCCCCTCCGTCGCCGGTGCTTTTGATACTTCCGTTGGTGCCCTTAGTACCGTCGACAGCGCCGCTTCTCTCATCCAAGTGCGACGTCGACCGCGAGCGGCGGAAGTGGAAATGGTCGGCAGAAGCCCCGCGCACAGGCGGTTGAGCACCTGTGGCGGAACCCGGACGAACACCTATGGCGGCAGAACCCGCGGCGCTTATCTTCCGCGCACCCGCAGCGTTTTTCGCGCGCGGGCTGTGCAAGAGGCGGAAACACCCGCCGACTTCCGCGCCGGCGTCGCTGTCGTTAGATCGGTAACCGCCGGCGGCAGTGCTGCTCTTCGCGAAGGCGCTGCTTCCGCGGCGGCTGCGCTGCTTTCCGTGACTGCTCTTTGCGCCATTGCCGCCCGAGATTGCGCTTGTGTCTTTCTTGTCGCTTGCACCTTTCTTACTAACGCTTGCGCCTGAACATCCGCTGCGCGCGGCAGAATTCGCGGAAGCCGCCACCGCCACATTGTCGCGCCACTGTGCGTCCATCTCGAGCAACGGCGCGGCTTTTTGCCAAACAACTTCCGCGTGCGGGCTACGCACGGCGGGAAAACTGGCTCCGTGGGGGTTTTCCACCGGAATCACAAGATCTGCGAGGTCGTAGTACCTATTAGTAGCAGTAGGTCCGAGGTCGTACTTAGCAGAAGTAAGAACGTGATCGTGGCTGCTACCAGCAGGTTCGAGATCGTGGCTACTAGCAGCAGGTACTACTAGAACGAGTTTGCGTGGTTTTTGCCGAACGACATTTCCAGCCATGGCGATGCGGCTCTTCCCGACCAGTACTATTTTCCCAACTAGACAGTGCCGGCGCCGGTGGTAGAAGCGGCGCCGCTAGAAGAAAGCAGCAGTCTTCGAGGCTTGTATGAGCTGACTTCGAGTCAGAAGCTTGGCACCTCGCATGACGCGTGTCAGAACATTATAGCTTTTACATTTGTGTAGGCTAAAGTGGGGTAGCCCATAAGGGGTACAACCCAATTAGGGTTAGTACTTGTACCCAACTCTTTGCTAGTTCATTCATTCTCGTTCATTCTCTTGACATGGTTTCAGAGCAGGTCCTCCGCTAGGACCGGTTTTCTTGGGCCCACCACTGAACTGCTGCTAGCGACCCTCGTGTCGCCCCTAGGCCCGTCGCCCCTAGGTACGTCGACCCCTAGCCCGCGCCACGGCCTCGTCGACCCTAGCCCGCGCCCCGGCCCCCCGTCGACCCTAGCCCACGCCACGGCCCCGTCGACCCTAGCCCGCGCCCCGGCCCCCGTTGACCCATAGCCCCACGCTCGGCCCCGTCGCCCCTAGCCCGCGCTCGGCCCGTCGACCCTAGCCCGCGCCCCGGCCCCCGTCGACCCCTAGCCCCGCGCCCGGCCCCGTCGTCCCTAGCCCGCGCTCGGCCCCCGTCGACCCCTAGCCCGCGCCCGGCCCCCCGTCGACCCGTAGCCCGCGCCCGGCCCCACGTCGACCCTAGCCCGCGCCCGGCCCCCCGTCGACCCTAGCCAGCGCCCGGCCCCCCGTCGACCCCTAGCCCGCGCCCCGGCCCCACGTCGACCCTAGCCCGCGCCCGGCCCCCCGTCGACCCTAGCCCGCGCCCGGCCCCCCCCGTTGACCCCTAGCCCGCGCCCGGCCCCACGTCGACCCTAGCCCGCGCCCGGCCCCCCGTCGACCCTAGCCCGCGCCCCGGCCCCCGACGACCCTAGCCCGCGCTCGGCCCCCCGTCGACCCCTAGCCCCAAGCCACGGCCCCGTCGACCCTAGCCCCGCGCCCGGCCCGTCGACCTCTAGCCCGCGCTCGGCCCCGTCGACCCTAGCCCGCGCCCTGGCCCCCCCCCGTCGACCCTAGCCCGCGCCCCGGCCTCCCGTCGACCCCTAGCCCGCGCCCGGCCCCCCCCCGTCAACCCTAGCCCGCGCCCCGGTCCCCCGTCGACCCTAGCCCGCGCTCGCCCCCCCCCCCCCCCCCCCCCCCATCGACCCCTAGCCTGCGCCTGGCCCCTCGTCGACCCCTAGCCCCGCGCCCCGGCCCGTTGACCCCTAGCCCCGCGCCCCGGCCCGTCGACCCCTAGCCCCGCGCCCGGCCCCGTCGACCCCTAGCCCCGCGCCCGGCCCTGTTGACCCCTAGCCCGCGCGCCTGGCTCTGTTGGCCCCTAGGCCCCAGGCCCCTCGGCCCCCCCTTCTCCTTACTGTCACTACTGCTGCTACTGCTACAGCCACTACTGCTGCTGCTACTGCTGCTTCTGCTGCTCCAGCCGACTGCACAGCTATGGCCTCGCTTTGGGTTCTAGCATTCGATCATGAGGGTAGACCGATTCAGTATGACACGTGGCTCGACGACCTGCAGCTGTACCTCCTGAGCGATATTAAGGACGGTGTTTCCCTGTTTGACCATGTGTCCGGTGCCGCTACTGCCCCTCCTACCACAGCTGACGGTGCGACTCGCTCACAGTGGCTTTTTCGCGACGCTGCTGCCTGCTTAGCCATTCGCAACCACCTGCCGTTAGCCGAATGCGCTCACTTTGGACAGCACAGGACCGCCCAGGCACTGTACGACGCTGTAGTCGCTCGCTACTCCTCCCCTGCCACTGCTGCTCTAGGCCGCCTTCTTCTGCCCTACCTGTTCCCCGAGCTGTCCGCCTTTGCCACAGTCGAGGACCTGGTTTTCCACCTTCGCGCTAGCAACGCTCACTACCGCGCTGCCGTTCCTGCTGAGTTCCTTGACAGGAACCTGCCCCCGATGTACATCACTCTCTAGTTTATAGTCACCCGCCTCCCTGACTCTCTTCGCTCTGTCAGGGACCACTTCCTCTCTCTTGACCCCACCTCCCTCACTGTTGACCTCCTCAAGCAGCATCTCCTTGCAGCTGAGACTAGTGCAGTTGCTGTAGGTGCTGCTCGTGGCACTCTGCGCCTGCCCTTCTTTGAGGGGAGTTCCCCCTCCCCCCTTGCCCCCTCCTATGCCTCTGCTGCTGCTGCAGACGTCCCTGTTACTGAGGACGTCGGGGCTGCTTCTGCTAGTGCGAAGCGCCGCAGCAGCAAGGGCAAGGGTAGCCGGGGTGGTAGTGGTGGCAGCGGTGGTGGTGGAGGTGGCAGCGGGAGTGGTGGTGGGGGCAGCGGTGGAGGTGGTGGCGATGGTGGGACTGTTGGCGGGAGTGGGTGTGAGAATTGTACGAGGAATGGAGTGGGCTAGAAAAGAAATGGGTACAAGTATGAAAACCTAGAAAAGCTGTACCCCATAATGTCTACCCCATATGAGGACAGACAGACGCAGACTTAGCAACAAGACTAGCGGCGTAGTCTAGACGACAGTGAGCAGCAAAGTCGACAAGCTCAGCAACTAAGGCAGACGAGCAGTGGACTCCAGGGAAGGGTCAGTGACAACAGTGGCCAGAAGACGCGTGACAGTAGGACTAGCAGCACGAAGGGAGTCAGACTCCGGGGTCAGCAAGTGCAGGAAGAGATGACTCAGGAGGAGAAGGCAGAGGGACACGCTGCGGAGCAGTGGAAGGATGCAGAGCCATCTGGTGTGTGCCAGGGACAGGAGGAGGACGCTGACGCGAACCACGACGACCAGTGCGAGCAGCACGAACAGGCGACGCAAGACGAGACTCAAGCTCACGACGCTCCATAATACCTCCTGTCGGACCAGTGTAAGGAGAAGGAGCAGACAGTGGGGAGGCCGGCTGTAACTGTGACTCGGACTACACAGGCAGTGGACACTCTAAGGAAGGAGCAGGACCACTAGAAGGCGGGAGACCAAGAACCTGCTCAAGGAGTGGAACGAATTACGGCCGCGGCCGCGCAGCGCCTCCAGAACCAGCAGGAATAGCACCAGCACCTCCAGCAGCTCCAGTAGCGCCAACTCCAGCACCCCCATGAGCACCGGCTCCAGCAGCACCTCCAGCTCTAGCACCTCCAGCTCTAGCACCTCCAGGAGCTCCAGCTCCAACAGGACCACCAGAAGCCCCAGCAGCACCAGCAGTGCCAGGGCCAGCACCTCCAGTAGTACCGCCAGCTCCAGCACCTCCAGCAGCTCCAGCCCCAGCAGCACCACCAGGCCCAGCAGCTCCAGTACCTCCAGTGCGAGCACCTCCGGGACCAGTGGCTCCAGAACACCCAGCAGCTCCAGCAGCAGCAGGACCTCCAGCGCCCGTAGCACCACCAGCTCCAGCAGCACGGCTCCAACGGCGAGCAAACCACTCGCGCAGCTACTGTGGAGAGAGTGGCTCCCGCCGGGACGAAGCACCCGAAAGACCTCCAGGCGCAGCACCTCCAGGCTCCACACGCGCAGGCGCAGCACCTCCTGGCTCCACACGCACAGGCTCAGCACCCTCAGGCTCCGCACCCCCAGACTCAGCAA